TCTGCAAGTACTATTAGCATCCACCGTACCTTTTCATTTCTCTTGCAACACAATGCAAACGATACTACAATCTTCTAAGTTTAATTTCAGACTTCGTTAACCTAAATAACTGTAGGCTATTTGATGTCCCGTCTCATATGGATACGTATAAATTGTCTAGCAATCAATATATATAAAAATGAGGAAAAGCATAAAAGGCTATATAATGTCTCAGCTATCTTTAGCAAAGCCTAAATTTATGCAAAGTAAGAATTTATCAACATTTTCCCCTCATTCCAGCAATTTGATTACTTACCCAACGCAATCTCTGGACTTTCCCAAAAAGGATTTACATTCATTCCTGCTAATTCACTCATTGATAAGCCAGTAAATAATAACAAATCTATTTTTAGAAATTAAAACATTATGGATTGATTCTATACATTACAGCAGTTGTCATAAACTTGAAATTTAAATTCTTTTGCTTTATAAAATAGGATTTAACTGAGGAATTCGTTATCGTTCGTGTTTTGTCAATGCTTATCATAAAATTTTCTCTATTAAAAAAGACCTAACATACTAATTTTTCAGGGAAAACCAAACCTAACTCATTTTTTGAAGTGGAAAATAACGTCTTAACATGAAATGAAATCAAATTGTTGTATTGAATCTTCTTCATATTAAATTACCTAATATACAGAAGACTGTAATCAGTTAACAGTTGCAATATTTTCTTGGTTTTTTTAAAATTTCGGCAAAACATATTTCACATTAGTCTGATTTTAACAATCAAGTTTGAAATATTCATATCAACAATAAAATGTTATCAGCAAGGTTGAAGTTATTGCGAGCTATTTTAATGTTCACCTTATCGTCTTCGAGAACTTATCGTTACATCAATTTTAAAAATACCTACAAATATAATCTAATCATAAAATTCAGCATCACTATCATTAAGGTTAAGGTTAATTTTCACTTATAATCGAACCATACTGGATTTTTTCAAATATCAATCAAGTGCCGGTTCATAAAATGCAACATTTCAAATTCTTAACATCATTAACAAAAATTCATATGACTGAGAAGAGATCAGAGAGGAGGAAATGAAAAAAGACTGTCAAAATTTGGAGAGTTAAATTAGAAGTAAGTTATTATGGTTGACAGTGTAAATGATAATGGATAGGTGGGGGGTGGAAGTGTATTTGCAGGGACGGGAAGAGGAAGAAGTGAAGACAATTATTGGTAAGGAATTGCTTACGACACTGAACTGAACTGTTGTAAAAGTGAAGTATTCCTTCTTATGGGAAAGTTTCCTTCTCCTACAATCGTAAAAATTCAATTTTTGGAAAAAAAGGTCAAATTTGAAACGAAAATTATTGCAGTCAAAAAAAATTTTTTTGCAATTATTTTGTTATAATTGATGTTGAAATAATTTAAGATGATATGCTTTTATCGTCAAATTAAATTAAACGATCATAAAGAGATACGAAAAATGTTAATAACAAATTAATGAAAGAAAAATTTATCAAATAAATTGGCTAATTAATGAATGAACAGGTAAAGAATGAGATTTTAAATGATTGTTAATTACGAATACCACCGCTTACATTATCATTATTGTCAATATCACACACATTCAAATATTCTACTAGTAATCTGAATTTTTACTGTTCTCTTTTTCTTCCATACTTCATTTTCAGCTAGCTAAAAATTTATATTTCTTTGTTAATAAAAGAAAAAAGAAAGAGAGAGAATTGCGGGAATTCAAGGCTTCCCATTTAGATAAAAATATTTTTCTATATAAAATGGAAGAAACAAATCCGATAAATTTATTCTAACAAGGAGTAGAGATAATTACTGTAATCTTTCCAGTCACTTCACTTCTCTTCTTTCATCTTAATTTAATCCATCGCCTCCACGATGAATTAATTGTCTATAAATGAATAGTAATTCTTGAATTTTTTCCTTCATCATTGTTAAATGATTATTTAATCCCAATTATTTAGCATAATATCATTGGTTAATTAAATTTCATTTATCAGTTAATTCAATACTCAACTCAAAAATTCTTCTGTGCTAAAACTTTTTCACTGATTACATGTGCCTTCATCTTTGTTATGAAATTCAAACTTTCGATTAAAAATAATAATTGTAACAAATTGACAATATAATGGAATTACAGATTATTGTCATAATTTCAGCGGTCTATTTTTTATAATTGTCAATAACCGTTACATTTTTATCACAAAAAAAAATTTCAACCAAATGAGTAATTTCTTTGCCATTTAAAGATCAGCGTCAATATTTTACATAATTGCAGTTAAATAATTAATCTTTCCATATAAAGTGAAAATGTCTGTGCTTAACATTCACTGAGTTCATTATTCATTATTTTTTTTTAAAGAAAAAACTGATATTGAGTTGGTTTCGAAAAATGAAACTATAAATTATCATGTAAAACCTGTCATTCAGACGGCAACAACTTTGGTTTCTATCGTAAGTAGGAAAAATTTACTAACGATTCATTTGATCAATCAGTCTAATCGATATTATCGAACTACTTTGAAAATTATAAAGCAGAAAAGTGATAGGAAATAAAATTGAATCAAACTGATGAATGCCTGCACAAACTTCAATGTTATTTTTTGAAACAGCTGTCGCTAACTGTAACAGTTAGAAAATAAACAAAAGAAATAACCTAATATCTATTAAATAAAATCGCCAAGAATAGTATTGCAATGTTGTTGGAATAAAAATTTTTAAATTAGTTTTAAATCTTCAAATTTTTTTAGTTTATTAATAAATTCAATGTTTGAAATTAAATACGGTCATCAATCAAACTATTATAACCCATCCTTCTTTTAAAAACGATTAGAATGACTCATTAGTTTCTTTTTAAAAAAAGATTTTAAAATTTCAACATTTTTATCCCTATTTTATTCCTTTTTTTTAATACATTCACCAATATTTATGTTACAAACGATGACTGTTTATTTTATTAGTTAGTCAAATAAGAATGAACGCTACGCCACATTAAGCTCCGAGGATAACTGTCGTAAAATGAATGAAATTAAATAAATTTTAAGAGCCAAAATAGAAATGAAAAAAATTATAACATATAAACTGCAAGAATTGGCCAAAAATTAGAAACGTTTTAAAGCGATTGTTAAATGAAAATTATTTGACAAGCAAAACTGCTGAATCATTTTGAAGGAAATGATAAAAATTACTATTGCAAAAAATAATTAACAAACAAACAGAATTTGCCATTGAAAGTCGATTATTGTTTTCGGGATTTTGAGAACGATCAATGCGGTTGCCTTTATTCTTTCTGGTCACGGATAATTAATCGAATGACAATGATTCAAGCGCACCTGACTGTATTAGAATGAGCACTCACCTGCTCTATAATCCAAACCATCTCAATATTCTCAAATTGAGTTTTTAAACTGCAATGGATAAATTTATAGCCGAAATTTAATACTTTAGCATTTGTTTGAATTGATGTCATTATTATAGCATACAAAAAGGAAGTAAGCTTTAATAGATGGAATAGATTGGGTCTATTCTAAATTTAAAATTTACACTTCAAGTATATATCTAACATTTAATTTTAGTTACTCTCTAATCAATAATAAGGAATTAAACGAGTAAAGTTATGAATTTTCAATGGAATCACATAGCTTTCAAATTGAATGAAACTTTATAATAAGCAAAATATTTGTTTTAGAAATGAAATTAATTTAAAGTTTTGAAAAAGTATACGAAATAAGATAAGATAGATGGTTTCGGATGAAATAGATTGAACAGACGATATTCAAATTTGGTATAGCCAATAGGAAAATGGGTCTTTGATGCCGATGACCTTCCAGTTTTCTTCATACAGTCACACATCCGGTAATAGCTCATGCCAATGAAATACATATATATACCCATAACAAATATACATAATAATACACTCTCTTCTTGTTCCATAACAATCAATGTCTTTTCCAACGTCTTTATTAATCCAACTTTTATTTCCTATATATGATCTTCATTGATTCAATTTTCATTTCTAATGATCTTCATTGATTCAATTTTCATTTCTAATGATCTTCATTGATTCAACTTTCATTTCTAATATATGATCTTCATTGATCCAACTTTCATTCCCAATATTTGATTTTCACCGATTATTTTTCATTTCCAACATATGAACTTCATTGATGGTTAAAGAATTTTAGCCTTTCATTTTTTTATGTCATTTTATTTCAAATTCCCATAATCATAATTCTTTTTCTTCACCTATTTTCTTTATTCGAAACAATCATAGATCCTGATTCTTAAATATTACCAATTCTTTGAACACTTACTGACCGATCAATGTTTATTTATTAGAGATTTGCATAAGGTTGATTTCGGATACATTAAAATTTTTATTTAAGATTGAACCGGTATAAATTTCATGGAACTGTAAAATATTGGAATTCATATTGTCACTATTCGCCATTTGTATTTAAAACTAAAATGTAGCATATTGACTTCAGTAGTAATTCATCTTTTTAATTTACTAACTATACAGTAATAAACATAAAATACAATGTAATTAAATTGTCCTTATTTCTTACTAAATTGATCGATCAGTCGAAGTTCATGCTGTTTTAGGATCGTTTACTTTTTCTCGCTTGTTTATGAATGATTCTAAATTTTTACTTAGATTAAATTATTTATCTTTTCTGAACAAAAAAAAACATTTTCAAAGGCATTCAAATTAGTTTAATAAACAAATTAATTTACTTTCTAATTAATTCAAATATTCCGACATTAATGACACATTATGCTGTTGACTTATTTTGCATTACAATTAATTAGAATAAATTTGAATCTCTCTGACTTTTTCAATTACTTCAAAATTTTAGCAATGTAATTAATAACTTAATATATGAAAAAATTTGATTGTAATATACATTAAAAAGAATTATTAAAATAAAATTTTAGCTGAAACATCAAAATTACCTATTAATTTTTTTTTTGCAAAATTAAAAATTAATTAAAACATACGGTATTTCCTGTATATCATCCAATGTAATTACATTTGAAACAAAAGTTCCATTGGTTCGACGTTTATTAGGAATGAAAAGTTCTTGAAAGAATGGATCCGATAATAACACTTTACCACATAAACGTTTTGTTGGACTGTAAACAAGTATCCGTTGAAGGATATTGATAGTTTCCTCGGATGCATACGGTAAAATAGATCTGAAGCCATTTGGCGCAATATCATAATTATCAATCATTAGCGATGCCGCTTTCATATCCATAAGCTCTGTTTCATTTGGATTTCCAAGAGCATCCATTATTAATTTAAATTGATGTTTCGCATTTTTACCAGGAAATAATATACTACCTTTAGTAATTTCACCCAATACACAACCACCAGACCAAACATCTAAAAATACAAAAAATCAATTATCGAAATTTATTCTCAAATTGACTTTATACTTATTTTAAAATTAGAGGAACTCATGTAGCGAAAATAGATTGCCTTGTTGGTATGTGTGTGTGTGTGTGTGTGTGTGTGTGGACAGCAGAAATCGTTTGGCCATTTATTAGAACCTCAAACTTGGGTAATTAAACCATATCAATAATAAAAACGCAATATTGATACATGACATAAGGAGCGCAAAAAATAACCCAAATGCATAACCCCAAAGGAAGAAGAACGAATGAATGAATGAAT